CCAACACCAGGGCCACAAGCTGCGCGACGGCTACCTCCCGAACCCTCCACACCTGCACCCCCAGAAGGGACACCCCCAGAGTCCACAAACGGCGGCAGCGACGACAGCGGCGGCGGCGGCGGCGGCTGCAGCGACGGCTGCGACGGCGGCGGCGGCGGAGACGACGGCTGCAACGGCGGCGGCGGTGGAGACGACGGCTGCAGCAGCTGCGGCGACGGCGGCTGCGGAGGCGGTGGAGGAGGAGACACCGGGGGAGGGACAGACGGCGAGGACTGCGCCGGAGGACTACCAGAGTCAGAAGACTCGTCGACCGGGACGACCGACGGGAGGGGGGTGACGTGAGACACACCAGAGGGGGCCGGACGGGGGGGCGGGGGGGGGAGAGGGGCAGGGACCACCAGGGAGGGAGGAACCAGGAAAAGGGGGGGAGTAACCGGGGGACCACGGTGGGGAAAGCGGCGGTAGAAGGAGACGGACTCGTCAAAGGTGACGTCTCGAGAGTGAAAGAAGCGGTGAGACGGCGGGTGGTAGAAGTGCCAGTCGGACGCGTCAAGGGGGAAACCGAGGAAGACGCAGGGGAGGGTGCGGGCAGTGAGCTTGTCCGTGCCAGAGGCACGAACGTGAGCAAGGCAGCCCCAGACGCGGAACGCAGACGCGTCACCAGGGGACCCGGTCCACAGAAGGGTCGGCGAAACCTGCGGCCGCTGGGGGTGCGGCCACAGGTTAAGCTGGTGAGCGGCGTAGCGCACGGCGAACGGCCACAGAAAATGGGGTGCACCGGCGTGGATCATGGAGGTGCGAGCCACCTCCATGACCAAACCGATGCGTCGCTCAGCGACCCCATTCTGCTGCGGGGAGTCCGGCAGGGTAAACGTCTGGGTGATGCCCTCCGCATGACAGAAGCGACCAAGGACACCTGAGGCAAACTCGCCACCCCGGTCGGAGTGAAGGCGCAAGGCAGGGAGACCGCGGTGGACACGAGCAGAGACAAGCCAGGGGATGAGAACGTCAGGCACGTCGGCCTTCCGCTCCAGGGGGAAGACGGTGGTGTAGCGCGTGAAGTCGTCGACAAGCACTAGGAAGAAGCGCTCGCGACGCGGCCCATGGACCGGGGCTGGGCCCCAGACGTCCATGTGCAGAGTCTGCAGTGGTGCGGTGGTAGGGGGAAAAGAGGAGGAGTGAGGGGCACGGCGGAGCCGGCCCTCGACACAAGGCGTGCACGGTGGGGCGGGGGAGGAGGGAAACTCGGGGAACGAACCGGGGAGACCAAGGACGAGACCGTGCTGGGACATGTGACGCAGACGTGGGAGTGCAGGGTGACCAAGGCGGTGGTGCCAAAGGAGAGTCGGGTGAGTGAGGGACCGACAGGAGCACGCGGCTGCAACCTGGGTGGACGCAACTACCGGGGGGGAAGACCCAGCCGGGGACGGCGCGGTGTCAAGTGTGAACAGGCCGGACACCGGGTCCCGGGGGAAAGTGGTAAGGGGGGCACCAGTGGCGGCCTCGGTACAGACAGCATACCGCTCGTGACCAGGGAACGTAGTGGTGACGCCAAGGTCCTGGAGGCAGCCGACACCAACTAGGTTCCTGGAGAACGAGGGGATATGCAGACCTGTGAGAGTGCCCGAAGGAACCGCCGGACAGGGAAGGGAGGTGGAACTGCGGGCAACGACGGGACCACCGGAGGGGTCAGCAAGAGTAACTGCAGCGGGAACAGGCAGCGGCGTCAGCGTCGTGGAGTCGCGGAAGAAACACCGGGAGGCGCCAGAGTCCAAGGTGAAGGAAAGCGCAGCAGTCGCGCGAGGCAGCAGTGAAGCGGTGGAAGCACCAAGGCTAAGCAAAGCAGGAGATCCTACGCCTGACGCAGCAGGGGAGTCTACGCTAGGCACCGCTATACTAGGCAACACGGGGTAATAAGAGGGAAGCACACTAGAGTCATCAGCATACATCACATGCAAGGCCGCTACAATGGCATCCATGTCCAAGTCAAAAATCCTAATGCTACGCCTAAGCAAGCTGTGCCAGTCCGGGAGGTCGGGCGCCGGGCCAAAGCGCTGGCGGAACAGGTCGTCCAGGCGACGAAAACAGCGAGGAGTAGAATGACCGATCTTACCGCAAACGAAGCCGCGGCGAGGACCGGTCTGGATCTGGTACTGACAGGGCCCGCCTCCAGAACCACCACCCGGTGCACCACCACGCGCACGACCACCACCAGCTCCAGGCCACCCAGGTGGGAGAGTACTCGCCTGCCTCGTCTGCGGCGGCTGCTGCGGCTGCTGCGAAGGCTGCGGCTGCGGCGACTGCTGCTGCTGCGGCTGCTGCAACGGTGGAGGCAGCGGGGCAGCTGGACCGGGCAGGGTCCCCACGTCCGCACCGGCACCGGACGACCCGCCTCCACCACTACCCCCACCCGCACCCCCGCCGCCTCCGCCGCTCCCAACCTTGGGGCGGCGGCCCTTCGCCGAGCGGGACTGCACTGCAGCAGCAGTCTCAGCCACAGCGACAGAGCCGTCGGAGAAGGTACACTGAGCGGGGGCACAACCCTGAAAGATAGGGACCGGTACTGTACCGCTCGCCAGGGCTATGGAGCGGTGACGAGTCTCTATGGCAGTCAGGGTGTCAACAAAGTCGGTGAGGGTGAGAGCAGCAGGGTGGATGCTAAGGAACTGGTCGCGGGCAGCGGCAAGGCGGTCAGGTAGGCGGGTGGCAAGGAGGTAGAGGGTAGAGGTCATGGGAGGCTGGTGGACTCTAAGCTGAGCATCAGTGCAGGCAGCGCGCCAGGCCTCATCTATCGAGCGCAGGTGGGCAGCGAGGTCAGAGACAGTGGGGAAAGACGCCAGGTCAGGAAAGAGCAGGGGAAGGATCAGGCGACCCACTGAGGCAGCAGGAGGGGTAGAATAGCGCTTGATGACAGCATCGAGGTAGGCCTGGGCGGTAGGAATGGTTCTAAAGCGAGGGCGCTCAGTGGGGGGGAGGGCATTGCTAATGGCGAGCTGAGCAAGGGCATCGCGGGAAAGCCAGACAGAGCGGGCAAGGGCAGCAGCGGCAGTGGACTCGCGCTCAGCGGGCGTGGGATCAGCGGGCAGCACAGCAGGGGGGTCAGGGCAGGGGAGCATACCGTCTAGGTGTGCAGAAAGCGGGTGGCCGTCCTGCCGCTGGCCAGTGAGGTGGCGGCGAAGGTCAGCCAACCACGCCTCGAACTCCAGAGGCTGACCCTCAACATCAAAACGAAGCTCAGCAGCCATGAGGGGCAGTGGAGGACAGTGCAGTGCGGTGCAGTGCGATGCAGTGCGGTGCAGTGCGGTCCAGTGCGGTGCAGTGCGATGCAGTGCGGTGCAGTGCGGTCTAGTGCGGTGCAGTGCGGTCAGTGCGATCCAGTGAGGTGCAATGCGATGCAAGGCGGGGCAGGAAAGTGCAGGAGGGTGCAAAGTGGTGCGGGGAACGGGGGACAGTACCAGGAAGTATGGAGGGCCGGGGCAGGTGCGTCGGGGCCGGGCAGGCACGACAAGGCCGGGCGGCGGCGACGGGGCCGGGCGGCTGCGACGGGGCCGGGCGGCGGCGACGGGGCCGGGCGGCAGCTACAAGGCCGGGCGGCTGCGACGTGGCCGGGCGGCTGCGACGGGGCCGGGCGGCTGCGACGGGGCCGGGCGGCAGGGACGAGGCCGGGCCGGACACAGCAGGGCCGGGCAGGGGCGACGGGGCCGGGCGGCTGCGACGTGGCCGGGCGGCTGCGACGTGGCCGGGCGGCTGCGACGGGGCCGGGCGGCTGCGACGGGGCCGGGCGGCGGCGACGGGGCCGGGCGGCAGGGACGGGGCCCGGGCAGGCCACAGCAGGGCCGGGCAGGGGCGACGGGCCGGGCGGGCGAGCAGGGGCCGGGCAGGTGCGACAGGGGCCGGGCAGCCGCGACAGGGGCCGGGCGGGCGCCACGCGGCCGATAGGCCGCGACGGGGCCGAGCAGGGGCGACGGGGCCGAGCAGGGGCGACGGGGATGGGTAGGGGCGCGACGGGGCCTGGAGGGGCGTTACCAAGCCCAGGTAGGGGCGCGACGGGGCCTGGGGGGAGTGCAATGGGGCCCAGGAGGGGCGCTACGGGGCCTGGGAGGAGCGCGACTGGGCTAGGGAGGGGCGCGACGGGGCCTGGGAGGAGCGCAATGGGGCCCAGGAGGGGCGCTACGGGGCCTGGGAGGAGCGCGACGGGGCCCTGGAGGGGCGCTACCAGGCCCTGGAAGGGGCGCGACGGGGCCTGGAGGGGCGCTACGAAGCCCTGAAAGGGGCGCGACGGGGCCTGGAGGGGCGCTACGAAGCCCTGGAAGGGGCGCGACGGGGCCTGGGAGGAGCGCAATGGGGCCCCGGAGGGGCGCTACGAGGCCTGGGAGGAGCGCGACGAGGCCCAAAAAGGGGCGCAACGGGGCCCAGGAAGGGGCGCGACGGGGCTAGGGAGGGTCGCGACGGGGCTAGGGAGGGTCGCGACGGGGCTAGGAGCACGACGGGGCCCAGCTAGGGGGCGAGCGGAAGCGTGAGGGGGGGGGGGGATCCTACCTACGCGTGATACCATATTAAACAGTGAAATTGATGAATAGAGAGAGAGAGTACACAAACATATACCTAACTGTTGTACTCTCTAGAAGATGACCCTATACAGTCTATACAAGCATGATAACTAAACATGTTTGACACTCAAGACTTCCGCTGCGCTATCAATCACTCTGTTACAAGGACTTAACCTTCTGATAAGATCGTTGGGCCCAACATACGGTACCAGTATTAAAAGACTAACTAGGAAGAAAGGGCGGCCATGAAATGGCGTGAGGGTTTAGGAGCTAGGAGCTAGGAGAGAAAAGTTTGACGAGAGAAAAAGGGAGGGAACTAGAAGAGAGAGAGGCATACAAGGAGGGGATTGTACCCTCTACAGTAGAGTTCCATATCCTACCAAGCCTACCAATTTTATAACACAATATATATAATTTAACCAGGAAGTAAAGTTTTCCCTCCCAGCATTGCGGACAGGAAGAAGAATTTGGCCAACGCCTTTTCCAATAACTTGAGAACTCACAAGCAAAAATAGCAACCCAGCTACAGTTATGTGACAGAGGAGAGGACACATCCCCAAACACTAACAATTGAAGGTGACTAGAGTATCTTACCATACCCCATGCAAGTTCTCCTCCCACATCCCACCCTAAATTTCCTCCACACCAGCTTCCTCCTTCCCTTGACTCTATACCCCCCCTCTACTCTCTTGCCCCCTCATTTCCCCAGCCCACTGGGCCCCTTGATCCATTTTTTTATGAACGATGACGGCGATTTGGAAGGGTCCCGACTGGCCTCTGCTAACGCAGCCTGGCTAGACGACCACTTGCCGTTTCCATTTCCACTCCCACTCCCACCCATCCCATCCTCACTAAAACTGACTCCTATCCTCTCAACACTCCCCCCTGCCCTGCGCCGAGATTCAAGCCCGCTTCTGGCAGCACTTTCAGGAGACCCACTTGCACCCGCCACCTCTGCACCTCTGCTCGCACCATCCCCTCCCCCCTTCTCTCCACGCGCCTTATCTGCCTCAGTCTTCAGCACTTCACCAGCCTTTGTGGAACATGAGAGCTTGTCGACAGCAGCAGCGGGCAGTCCAGATCGAGCGACGGGAGGGTCGATCTCGACGGTTGCAATCCTCTCTGCTGCGTCCTCGTCCTCCTCCTCATCGCTCTCAGTGCCCTCCGATACCCCATCAGGCTTGGCCACCGCCCACAGATGAGCCGCGTGGAGGAGTCTGGCCAAGTGGGGGAAAGACCAAGGGGGAAAGGGAAGAGGGAAGGAGGGAGGCGGGGGAGGGTGGGGGGGAAGGAGAATTTTCAGGGACACTAAAAGCTCGGATCCTGAGTTGTGTTATGTTTTAAGTCTTACACGTTGCATGCACCCCAACCATCCTCGACGCGGCCCCAATACCTGAGATTTTGTCCCCAAATGTGGATTGACATCATTTATCAGTTGTCTTTTTGGTAGAAGAGATCTGGGTTAACAAAGCGATGTCAGCTCAGTCAACGCAGCCGCAGCGCGATTCAAAACTGGGGATGTTCAACCTTCGAGACTCGTTCAAAAACAAAGTTTCTTTCTGGAAAAGGAATGGCTCACAACTGAGCCAGTGAGGCAGGATCATGGCGGCAAGACCGCTGACGACTACCCCGTCGGCAGAGACCAACTACTGCGGAAACGGACCAGGCGGGTCAACAGACCAGGCGGATCAGTGGAGCAGAAGGATCAACGGACCAGGCGGATCAACGGACCAGGCGGATCAGTGGACCAGACGGATCAACGGACCAGGCGGGTCAACAGACCATGCTGATCAACGGACCGGGCGGATCAACGAAGCGGACGGAACAACACAGCGGAGTCCCACCCACCTCCTAATGGCTTCGATCTCGAGCTTCGAAAGGAGATCGGAAAATGAATGAAGCGGAGCGAATCGAGCTCCACTCAGGGCAACGGAGGGAACGGAGTCTCTCACCTCTCTCTAATGGCGTCCAGCTCCGAGTGGTCCATGGTCTGTCGCCATCGAGCATCGACGGGAAATCAAGAAGCAAATGAACTCCACTCAGGGCAAGGGCGGGAGGGGAGCCTCTCACCTCTCTCTGATGGCGTCCAGCTCGGAGTAGTCCATGGACTGTCGCCGTCCGCTCATCGACACGCGCCCCACGCTCGACCGTCTCCGCCTCCCCGCGGACGCCGCCGCCGCCGCCGGGAATCTTCCGCCCACTGCTGCAGCGGCTGACGGAGCGACGGCGACTACACCCTGCCCCAGCAGGTCGCCTTGAAACGCTGGCACGCCACCCGCGCCCGCGCCCGCACCAGCGCTGAAACCTGCGCCAGGGGCAGCGGACGGGGAATAAGCCGCAGCGGAGTGTCGGCGATACTTGCGCCCTCCCCCCGCCACCCAATCGTTGAAGCTCTCCGGGGGCGACTTCATCGTCTCAACGCTGCCGCCACAGACGGCGGCGGCGGCGATGGCGGCGATGGCGGAGGCGGCCTCCGCTGCCGCTGCCGCTGTGGCGGCATCAGCGTGCGCGGAAGCACTCGTTCCCCCGTGCGCATGGGTTTCCGCGGCGGCGGCGGGTGCGAGCGAGCGGAATCGGGGTGCGGAGCTTTGGGTGGGGGGAAGCTTAACGCTTAATGGTAGAGTCTGCTGCTGCTGCTGGGCAAGAGTCACCAATGGCGAGCTCGCATCGGCAGCAGGTGCGTCGGTAGCGGCAGCAGGTGCGTCGGTAGCGGCAGCAGGTGCGGCTATGGTTGAAGTGTCGCCGGCGGACGCGTCTGGTTGCTCGACCGTCGCACCATTGCTAGCGGTAGCTGCGGGGGGGTGAGAATTTCCGCTCAGTACCGCGACATCAGCGGGCGCACTTAGCTGCTTAATGGCATCAACAGCGACAGCAGGGGTATCGGCGGGGGCAGCGGGTGCAGAAGCGGAAGCGGGTGCGGAAGCCGGTGCAGAAGCCGGTGCGGAAGCGGAAGCGGTCTTAACGGTGGCGGCGTTAAGGCGCGGATCTTTCCCGACGGACGTTGACGCGAGGTACGACAGGAGCCAGTTATCCTCGTCCTCAAACACCGTCTGCATGCTAGCAGGAGGAGCGAGGCTGTGAGAGGCGGCGGGTGCGTGAAGTGCGGCCGTCGACGGCATAAGGCACGGTGGGAGGGAGGGAGAAGCGGCTAGTAGCTAGAAGCTAATAGCTAACGGACCGTGACGAGTTGGTACTACCGTCAGTAACGGTCGGAGGTTTGGAGGCTGGGTAAAGTTTGCGGAGTGACTTGAAAGAGCGAAATGGGTCGAAAATTTAAAGTCCTTGGCAGGTTTTGAGCGGGAAACAGAGGGGGGATTCAGAACGGTTGAGTAGATTCTCCGAAAATCCGAGGCATGGGACACTGAAAATTCGAGGCAACGCGCCCTAAGGAGACAGCTTGCGGGCCTGCGCTGCGCTGGCTAAGGGGAGATACCGTATACCGTGCGCGTAACAGTTGACAAAATCGTCAATGCTAGACGCTCTAATACAGTAGGATGGAGGAGGAAGTGGCAGACAAAGTGAAGGGCGCGAAATGGAAAACCCCCCACCCCACTCCCAGTGGAGTCCAGCTAGGTCCCTTGCTGCTGCTCGGATTCGCGTTGTTGCTGGTTGCTGGTTGTTCGTCACGGCAGTATACTGTAGCTGCTGCGGTTCAGTATCTGTTGTTGTGTGGTCCTTCGCGGCTGGCAACTCACTGTTCCGATGAAATCAGGCAGACAAGGCTAGGGGGTGGGTGGGATAGTGGGAGCTGGATGGGGTGGATGGAGGTAAGGACTGGGAATGGGATGTGAGTGTGAATAGTCAGGGTCGATTGTGGTCCTGCGAATTGGACGCAATGTGTCACGTTCTTATGGGGATTCGAGCACAACTTCAAAATTGTGACCCTACGTGCTAGAAAGACTTATCCGCAACAACGTTGAAAGTGGAAGAGGTGTATGCCCACCGCGAATCTCACGGACAGAACGCAACAACTTGGCAAGCTCAACACCGTCCACGTGGTGCGGATCCTGCGACTCTCCAGATGAACACCTGGCTAACGTGGGTCCTGCGCTCGGGTCATTGATGGCGTGGCTGAGAAGGAGAGAGTTTCCTTCTAATTAGGGCCACAGGATGCATTTCGCCGCTTGCGTTTCCATGTTGACCTCAGTGCAAGATTTCCTGACCACTGTGGGCACGAGACAGGACCCACCTGGCACGGGTTGATGGACCTGCTGTAATCAACGGTCACAGCGAGGCAGGCCAGGAAGAACTGTGGCCCCCTTCCGCTGCCTCCAAGCAGTTTTCTCAACTCACTGGCGTTTCCGCCTCGAGGCTCTCTCAGTGCTCATGTACTGTGCTGTATTTGTGCGCCTGCCCAACCATTCCCCCAGCCCATCCCCCAACCTCCAAATCCCAACCCTTTTCCAACCTGGCCCTAATGCCAGGTCAATGTTCATCCTCTGCCGTGAAACCTCCTATCCGGAACCGCCATGTCAGATCAATGTTCGTCGTAAGGGCACCCTTTCACGAAGCCGTGACTCATGAGAACCACACAAGTGGAGGATCTGGGGAAAGAAGGTTTTTTTTTTGGTATTTATCTCACGCTTAACGATCATTGGAGGTGATGACGTCATCGGAAAAACACATGACCCAATTGTAACCATCATATCAGATTTAACCCAGCGTGGTACCAATCATCCCTCCATGGTAACGAAAATATGCGGCACCCCTAGCGAGGTACCAATTACATACCATATTCTCATAGTGCAAACTCCAAGAATTCTGGAAGGAGGCACTTAGCTAATAGAGCGGTACGCCTCGGGAAATTTTGCTTGTAACGTTCCCAAGAAAGTATGAGCGATGTCATATGCATGCAGGGGCGGGGACGCTGTCATTAGCTACGACAAGGTCCACGTAGGCATGTCATGAGGTGTTCGCATGGCGTGCCCTCTCTAGGTTTCAGGTGCGCACGTTAATTGATACGTTGCCACAAGAACAAAAAAAAAAAAAAAAAAAAAAAAAAAACTCCCAACCGTCAAATGATTCGACTATAGACAGATTCAAAATTATTTATTATAGGAAACACCAAATAGCATTGTAAAATAACGGGGGAAAAAAAAACACCATCTCAAAATACAATACACGTCCACAAGGAGGAGGACGTAGAGGAACTCCATATGATTCCGTCATCGCAGATGGCGTGCGTTGATTGGCCCATGAATGGGTGGATCGCAACAGTGAGATTTGTTTGCGTTTCTGATACATTGCGATTGCAATTTAATGTCCACCACTCAGGACCGCACTGACGTGGATCACACGAATTCTTATAGTGGCGACAATATTTTTCACATGTTGTATGCACATATTTTCATTGGTCGGGTTGTGTATACGAGTGTTGCATCTACGGGGCAATTGCACTTGCGAAAATTTTGCATTTGTCGTTCTTGCACCAATCGCATGTGCCCTATATACCTCTATGGTAACAAGCATTTTGCAACGCATTCCCTAAATAGTAACTCGTCGTTTCAACATTTCCAAGTTACACCACATTGGCAATTATGCGTCATTGAAATGTCTCATTCAAGAATTTTAATCATCAAACCAATAAATGACAAATTATATAATTAACATAATTATAATAGTAATACTAAATTTGTATACCAATATAAATCAACTGCATTTGATAGTTCTTAGTATGTGCTATTCAAGACTAGCAACTAGGTGCTAAAATAAAAGACTATTATTTTATTTACCATACTCATATAAAAATTTACACGACAATCAACATGGAAAGAAGTTTTGGAACCACTTATGTCCGTGAATCGCAAACGCTAGTAAATGCAACTAATCGTAATTCTGTCGACTGTACTTCAACAATTTATGCCAATAAGACAAAGTTACATTGTGTAGGCGTATGATAATTAAGGTTTGCATCGACTCTAATCTTATCTTCTTGCTATGTCTATGAACTGTAGAAAGCTTGCCCTGGTCTTTTTATGGTACACCAGCATACTTGTCATATGGGCGCAAATAAACATGCTACTCATGCTGAAAATTTATTTTATGGCACTACACAACAGATTTATAAAATATAATATTACACCATTATAGTTGCGCACTCTATCGTGGATTTTAAAATATCCCACTAAGATTTTTCAATAGAGTTGATTTATATCTCTATACGCAATTATTGATGAAATAATTGTAGAAAATGCATAACGCATATATGAGTTCGGAAATTGGTTTTACGAATGAAAGCATGTATGTTATAACATATAATAAACGATATGGGCAGAGTTCGAAATTGTTGAAACGATCGCTTACCAATCAGGGAACGCGTCACGAACTGTTAATAACATAGAGGGATAATTGGTACCTCGCTGGGGGCGCCGCAGATTTTTCGTTACCATGGAGGGATGATTGGTATTACGATAGGGTGAATATGATCTGATGGCTACAATCGCGCCACCAGCAGCACAGCCCCGCCCTCCCTCGCCTTCCCCCCCGCACGCGCTTTTAAACTGTCATTCAACCCGTCGACGGCGCTTTCATTTCACTCAGCCCATCAACTTCAAGCATCCACATTCAAAAAACCACCCGCCTCCTTCTCTACCTCCCATCCCACCTCATCCCAGCACTCCTCCATTTTCGAATTTCCACCCTCTGAATCTACTTCCACCACCAACCCACCATCCTCCCTTCCTACAGTGTCTCTCGCTCACATCGTATTACATCTCGTAACAATTGGACGAAATTGTGTGCTTCGTCGAGAATCTTTTTTGGTTCAAAACCGTGGACCCTTGTCGCCAGGCGATTGCACACGTGGCCGTTTGGGCCAATTCGGTCAACCTCGCGCTACGGTTCCCTCAAAATGCTGCACCGGAGTGTATTACATACGAAGTAGTTTCTAGATGATCGTCGTTGCATAAAAGCTGTTCAATTACGACGTCAACTGTTGCTCAAAGTTCCTGCATTTAATGCAACAAGCATCAGTCTGCGCTAGTGCGGACCCCAATAACGCAATACACCTAGCCCGCAGTAATTTTACACCTAGTATTTTCACAGATGGTGCCGCCGAGAGGGTATTCACCCCCCAAAAGCAGCTCTTGAAGACCGGATCCGGATACCCCTGTAAAACAAATGTATGTTGGATTTCTATACGAAATGTTTACTCCTCGATTTGTTGTTTCTCGAGTCAATAAACTTGACGTCAGCTTAGGCAGTGCTCTAGGTTTTTGCCCGCGTAGAGTCTGCCGCGCTTACGCTGTAGTGTTAACTTATACATATGTTTATATGTAGAAGTTATAGGCTGGATAGGTTTGTGTTCTTAGAGGGTACAACCCCAACCCTATATCTCCTCTGTTCTCACTTGTTCTAGTTCATTCTGCTAATCTAACATGATATCATAGTAGGTTAGGTCCGCCCACCCGCTTCCGCCCTCGCCCTAGCCTACCGCCCCCCTCGTACCCTAGCCTTAGCGCGCCCCGCCGGCCCTTAGCGCCCCAACGACCCCGCGCCCGCCCCCTGGTCCTCGATGCGCCTTGCTGGCCCTATGCGCCCCATCGGCCCCTAGTGCCCCACCGGCCCCTAGCGTGCCCGCTGACCCTTACTGCCTCGCCGACCCCTTAGCGTCGTGCCGACCCCTCACGTACGCCGCCGGCCCCTCGCGCACCTTGCCGGCCCTTAGCGCCCCGCCGGCCCTTAGCTCATCGCCGGCCCCTCGCGTGCTCGCCAGCCCCTCGCGTACCCCGCCGGCCCCTCGCCTACCTCGCCGGCCCTTCGCATACCATGCCTGCCCCTCGCGTACCCAACCGGTCCCTCGCGTGCCCACTAGCCCCTCGCGCGCCTCGCTGACCCTTCGCGCCTCGCCGACCCTTCGCGTGCTTGCCGGCCCCTCGAGTACCCCGCCGACCCCTCGCGTGCCCGCCGGCCCTTAGCGCATCGCCGGCCGTTAGCGCCCTGCCGTCCCCCTCCCGAGTCTGCTGGCCCTTAGCGCTCCGCTAACCCCGCTAGCCCCTTTAGCGCCCCGCCGGCCCTCGGCGCCCCACTAGCCCCTCGGGCGCCTGCTGGCCCTAGCGCTCCAGCCTGGCCCAAGCGCTCCGTTGACCCTAGCGCGCCGCCGCCCCTTTCGAGTCTCGCCGGCCTGCTGCGCGCCTCGTGCCCTGTGCCCCCTGCTCAGCCTTCCGCCCGGTCTTCCCGCCGGAGAGTTCTGCCGCCACGCCACTGTGCCGCCGTGCCGCTGTACCGCCGTGTCGCTGTGCCGCCATGTCGCTGTGCCGCTGAGATGCCGTGTCGCAGTGCCGCTGAGCCGCTGTGCCCCCATATCGTTGTGCCGCCATGGAGCTGTGACGCGGAGGTTTCACGATGGCGGACGACGTACTCCGTCTGGACGCGGAGGGGCACGCGATAGACTTCGCCGCCTGGCTTGTCGATCTCCGCCGTCACCTGACAGGTCAACGCCAGGATGGGCACTCCCTGGCTGTGCATGTTGATGGT